CCAGCACAGAACAGGGTCACGTCAGGTTCCGGGCAGGTCACAGAGCGCTGCTGCAGACACAGAACTCCAGGGCCGCTTGGGCAATGGACCAAGGCCCTGAGCCCCTCCTTGCTGCCTGTCGAGCCAGGCGGTCCCTCCCTAGTAGGGTTGGGGAGAAGGTAAAGAATGCTGTTCCTGCACCTGGGAGGTGGCAGTCCGCACAGAGAAGCAAGCAGGGGTGAGGGAGAATCTGCAGCGGTACAGCCAGCTCTCACAGGGTGATCAAGGCCCCTGTACCCTGGAGGGGCCCCTGGTGGTTCTTGTCCAGCCAGCTCCTCCCCACCAGGGGGACTCGGGGTACAGCCACCCTCTAGGTGATGTGTCAGTATCCCCCCCCCAACCCCCATGTGTCTAGGGCCCACAGGCCATTTTCACGGGGACAGCGTGAGTCCTCCCCTGGGCCCAGGGAGGCAAATGGAGAGAAAGACTGGATCGTGGGCCAGGTTGGGGAGACTCCCGTGGAGCTGGGTGGGAGTGCAGGCCAGGACAGGGTGCGGCCCAGCAGGAGGGGCCCCGGCCATTGACCTCTGCTGACCCGGATCTCCCACAGGCGCAGCCACAACAACCTCCGCATCACGCGCATCCTCAAGTCGCTGGGTGAGCTGGGCCTTGAGCACTTCCAGGCGCCGCTGGTCCGCTTCTTCCTGGAGGAGACGCTGGTGCGGCGGGAGCTGCCGGGCGTGCGGCAGAGTGCCCTGGACTACTTCATGTTCGCCGTGCGCTGCCGGAACCAGCGCCGCCAGCTGGTGCACTTCGCCTGGGAGCACTTCCGGCCCCGCTGCAAGTTTGTCTGGGGGCCGCCAGACAAGCTGCGGAGGTTCAAGCCCAGCCCTCTGCCCCGTCCGCTTGAGGGCTCCAGGAAGGCGGAGGAAGAAGGAAGCCCCGGGGACCCCGACCACAAGGCCAGCACCCAGGGTCGGACCTGTGGGCCAGAGCACAGCAAGGGTAGGGGCAGGGTGGACGAGGGGCCCCAGCCACGGAGTGTGGAGCCCCAGGATGCGGGACCCCTGGAGGGGAGCCAGGGGGATGAGGCAGGGGGCCACGGGGAAGATGGGCCAGAGCCCCTAAGCCCCAAGGAGAGCAAGAAGAGGAAGCTGGAGCTGAGCCGGCGGGAGCAGCCCCCAACAGAGCCAGGCCCTCAGAGTGCCTCGGAGGTGGAGAAGATCGCTCTGAACTTGGAGGGGTGTGCCCTCAGCCAGGGCAGCCTCAGGACGGGGACCCAGGAAGTGAGGGGCCAGGACCCCGGGGAGGCCGTGCAGCCCTGCCCCCAACCCCTGGGAGCCAGGGTGGCTGACAAGGTGAGGAAGCGGAGGAAGGTGGATGAGGGTGCTGGGGACAGTGCTGTGGTAGCCAGTGATGGCGCCCAGACCTTGGCCCTTGCCGGGTGCCCTGCCCCATCGGGGTACCCCAAGGCTGGACACAGTGAGAACGGGGTTGAGGAGGACACAGAAGGTCGAACGGGGCCCAAAGAAGGTACCCCTGGGAGCCCATCGGAGACCCCAGGCCCCAGCCCAGCAGGACCTGCAGGGGACGAGCCAGCCAAGGCAGGGGAGGCAGTGGAGGTGCAGGACACAGAGGCGAAGCCTTCTGCCAAATCTGGGAAGCCTTAAGGAAAGGATTCCCCGATGGCGTGTTGGCTCTCCTGGCCCTGCTGCAGGGGCCGGGGCCTCCGGAGCTGCTGCGGGCTCCCCTCAGGCTCTGCTCCGTGACCCATGACCTGCCGTGCTGGCCTCCCGTGGTGGCCACTGTAGCGGCCACCGGAAAGTGCGAGGCCCTCAGGGAAGGCCAAGGCCTGCAGAAGCCTCCTGGCCTGGCTGTGTCTTCCCCACCCAGCTCTCTCCCGCACCCCTGTCTTTGTAAATTGACCTTTCTCGGGTGGGGGGGTGGGGGGCAGGGCTGCTTTTCTTAGTCTGGTGCCAAGCAAGGCCTTTTCTGAATAAACTTGTTTGACTTTGAGTCTTTGGTACGGACTGGGGTCCTGTTGGGTGGCTGGTAGGGCTGGTGTCACAGCTGCTGTCCCTCCAGGCTCCGGTGGCCTGGCCCAGCTACTGCCTCGCATTGCTCCACCAGGTGCCCGTGGGGGCAGAGTGGTGGCACAGCCCTCCGCACACACCCACTTGGCCACAGTCCCCAGGTGTGCACAGGTGGGCAGGCTGCAGCCTCTCAGAGCCATTGAGGGTCGGGCCAAGGTCCCTCGGCAGGCTTTGCCACCTGTTGAAGATGAGTCTGGGGATTCCCCTGGGGTTGGCTGGGGGCAGTGCTTGTGCATGGTGGGGGTATAGACGAGGCCTTTCTGCCTGCTGTGATCTAGGATGCCATGCTGTGCCTCGGGCAGGCTTGGCAGGACTCTCTGTCGGGCTCCTTGGCTCCCTCAGGTCTGGTGAAGCCAGGTGTGCCCCCCGGGCAGCCCCTCCCTGCAGTCTGGTCTTGTCACCCTGGGCCAGGACCCCCACCCTTCCCGGTTCACCTACATTTCTACATCAGCGGGGTAAGGAGCTTTTGTGGGGCCTCCGAGGAGGGGCCGGACACTTGTCTTTGCTCAGTGAAGGACAAGGCAGACCCAGGGCACCCGTGGGTGGGAGGATTAAAGCTGTAGACCCTGGTACCACTTCAGGGAAAATGGCCAGGTCCCATCTGGTGGCACCGGATACACAAGCCAGCAGTCACTGGGAGGAGACACCCCAGGTTCAATAATCCCCCAGAGCTGGGTGGGGAAGCTGTGGGACTCCTGGTGCCTCAACTCACGTGTGGCTCAGTGAGGGGATTCCTGCCATGGAGGGAAACCGAGGCAGAGAGGGGGACATAGGGCTAGAAATGCAGTCACTGGGGCAGCACCCAGCAGATCCAGCGTCCCTGGTTCAGGCCGTTGTGGGGCTGGAGTCGGTGGAAATCAGCACCTGAAGTGAGGAGCCCCTGTTGGAGCAGCCCTGGGGGCCGGTGCCTGGTGGTGGGCGCCTGGGGACAGCAGGCAGTCCTGGCCAGCCAACCCGGGCTTCAGGGAGAGTGATGACCCACAACGGGCGGGCAGCAGGAGGCTCTGCGCCACTCAAAGGTGAGCCGGGGGAGGCTGAGCTCTGGCAGCATCCACCCTCTGCCTAGGATCTGCCTGGAGCTGGGGGTGGGTTTTTGAGGGACTTGAAGGTGGTTCAGGGGGACATCAAGTAGGTGTCCCAGGTGTGAGGCGGCTCCCCTGGCCTGAGGTGAAGGCCAGCTGTTTTGTCTCACTTGAATCAGATAGCAATTCTTGCTGACCGCATGCTGGGCATCGTGGGGATAGGCAGAGTGGGGTGTGGGGCCAGGGACCAGGGGAGAGTCACTGAGGAGGGGGCTGGCCACAGGGTCATCTTGCCAGGTGGAACTGGTAGGGAGGACTCCTGTCCCCCAGACCCTGGGCTTGGGGTGGGGCTGCTGCTAGGAGACCCTGAGCCCCCCTGCTGTCTGGGCTGACCTGCTCCACCCACCCCTCCCCCTTGTCAAAAGTCCTCTGTTAGGAAGCTCTGTGCCAGGACGACTTGGACTCCTCAGGAGGGTGAGCCTTTCCAGCTCCTCCTGCCTCGCCTGATGGAATTCACACCCCCCCCCCAGTCACCGCTCTCCCCCAGCAGTGAAGGGAGACTCTCCCTCCACTCACTTCACCTCGGGAGAGATTAGAGCGACACTTTATGATTTTGAGACAGGGTCTCACTGTCTTGCCCAGGCAGGAGTGCAGTGGCGCCATCTTGGCTCACTGCAGCCCCGACCTTACGGGCTCAAGCGATCCTCTTGCCTCAGCCTCCTGTGTAGCTGGGCCTACAGGTGAGCACCACCATGCCCAGCCGATGTTTTAATTTTTGGTAGAGATGAGGCCTCCCTCCGTCACCCAGGCTGACTGCGTCCGTCGGGAGTGCCGCACTCCTGTTGAGCCGTTTTGCGCCCACTCCCCTCTCATCCCCTCCTGCCCTTGCTAACTCACAGCATGGCAACAGTCATGAGTCCCCACCTGCCCAACGGAAGCTCCTGCAGCCTCCTACAACCCCCAGGGCAGCCTTTCTCGGGGAATTCTCAAGACTCCTGGGGGAGGGACTGCCATTCTGCGCCTTCATTGACCCTACAGGCAACTGGAGCATTTGAGTCCCCTAGGGCAGCGACTGCCCTGGCAGCCTAAGACAGACCTTGGCCCGACTTGGCGACCCCCGAGCTTGTGGGAGATGGACATGGCCAGCACCGCCTTCAGGTTCCTGCTCAGGACACAGTTCCTTCAGGCCGGGGATCTGGGGGGCATCCTTCCCCTGGGCCAGGGTCATCGTTTTGCGCTCGCTCCCGGGAGTCTGGGGTTGGAGTCTTGTCTTAGCCAGTGGCAGCTGACGTGGCCTGACCACCCGGCCTGTCCAGGTCCATGGGTGACGGGCTGCGGTGGGGGTGCTCCCAGCCCAGCAGGCAGCCCTGGACAGCGACCCCAGAGCAGGAACCAGGGCTGCAGTGGGCACTGACCCAGCCCTGGTACCGAGGATTCACCCTCCCCCGGGTCTTCCTGGGCCTTGGGCCGCCTGGGTCCGCTCCAGCGCCTGGGGAGGGGTCTGCGGCTTCGGAAACTCGCGGGTCCCCCCTGCCCCTTCCTGAAGGGAGCCCTTCAGCGCCGCAGGCTTCCTCCCCCACACTTGGGTTGAAGAGCAAGGGGAGAAAAGAGCGTCTTTCTCTCTTGCTCAAAGCTGCGTGTGTGCAACGCGCCAGTCCCAGGATAATTTTAACTCGCGGCCGGAGAGAACGCGCCGCCGCCCGGCGTCTTTTTTTTTTTTTTTCTCCCCCTGGCGGGCTGGGCTGCGGCGCGGGGCGGGTAGAAGCCCCCCCGCCAGGTGGGCCCGGCTGAATGGGGGGCTTGTGCAGGCGGGGGCGGGGAAGGGGAAGGGGAAGGGGAAGGGGCCGCCCACCTCGCGCCCCGCCCGCCCGCCCGCCGCCAGCCCCGACGCCGCCGCAGTTCAGACTCCGCGCAGCCATGGCCCGGCCGCCCGCGCTCGCCCCGCTGCTGCTCCTGCTCCTGCTCGGGGAGCTCCTGGCGGCCGCCGGGGCGCAGGTGAGCGCGAGCTCCGAGCTCTGACGCTGGACGTGGAGACGCGCGGCCCAGGGACGGCCCCAGCCCCGAACCCGCCACTCCGGGGTGCCCGGCGCAGCCTCGACGCCCCCAGCCCGTGTCGCCGTCGGGGCGCGGAGTCGCCAGAGCCTCCGGATGAGCCTCGACCGACCGCGTCCTCGATGGGTCCTCGCTGGCCCTGGTCGGCCGGCGCCGCCGCCTCTGCTGGGAGCACAAGGAGGCCTTTGTTCCCGCGGCCCGAGGGAGGCGGGGGACACACTGCCCGGGGGCGCCTGGCTCCGCCCGAGGCTTTGGGGCTCACGGAGGAGAGCAGGCCCCGGAGCCGCTCGGGACCCGGGAGGAGGGAACGCCGGGTCAGGCCCACCGCGGCACCTGCGCTCCTTAATGAGTTTTCTCCGTTTCAGAAAGTGGGACTCCCAGGCCCTCCAGGCCCCCCAGGGCCGCCGGGGAAGCCCGGCCAGGACGGCATTGACGTGAGTTTGGGGGTGGGGAGGGCCCCGAGCGCTCTGGGGTTCTGACTCTGGCCTCCCCACCTCCCTGAGCTCCCCAACCTGATGGAGAGAAAACCAGGCCCCACCTCCCAGAGCCAGGGTGACATCAGGGGGCAGCCAGAGCCTTCACGGGATGGAGGTGGCCCTGCGGGGATTGCTGGTGGGTAGGGGTGGAGGGTGTCACGTGGTGGCCCCCGACCCAGAATGCCGGCACTGAGCTGTGTGGCTCTGGGTCCCCTGAGGGGCCTGGGCCCCTGTGTTCTGGGTTCTGGCCCCTGGGGCTGAAGTGGGGAGGGGCACGTCCCTCGGGTGGATGGGGGCCGGGGGTCTTATTGGAGGTTGCTGGGCTCTGGAGCCAGCCGTAGAGGGGGCCCAGGGGCCGACTCGGTCCCAGAGATGATGTCCCTCACGGGTATCTCAGGCCTGGTGTGCACCAAGCAGCAGGAGGGGCAGCTGAAATTCTACAGCTGTGTGTCTCTCGGAGGGACCGTCTGGGGTGAACCTCCCCATGTGACCACCACCGGGGCGGGGGTCCCCTCAGGGCCTGTGCTCGCTGTGTGGTTCCCCATGGAGGGCTGTGGAGGGCTGCACCAAGAGCCCCCCGTGACCCACCCTCTGCCCCCCGCCCAGCTCGGCCTCAGTGGCCACAGCCTCCTTCCCCGGCCACAGGGCTGTGCTCAGGACAGGCATGTGGACCTGAACCCCCATGGCCCACGGCCCTGGCCTCCCTAGGCTCCTCCTGGGCCAGATACCTGGACCCCAGGGCTCCCACCTGAAGCCTGGTCTTGACATCTCAGTTAAAGACCCGGTGGTCGTCAACAGGGTGGGGAGCTGGGGGTTCTTCCTGGAGACTGTGGGGAAGCTGCCCTTAGCAGCAGATGGAACAGAGAGGCCTCCCAGCCCCCAGGTCTTCTTCCTAAAGCCCCAGGCCATGGAGGGAGGGGGTTACTGATGCATTCCCAGGCCATGGAGGGAGGGGATTACTGATGCATTCCCAGGCCATGGAGGGAGGGGGATTACTGATGCATTCCCAGGCCATGGAGGGAGGGGGATTAGTGATGCATTCCCAGGCCATGGAGGGAGGGGGTTACTGATGCATCCCCAGGCCATGGAGGGAGGGGATTACTGATGCATCCCCAGGCCATGGAGGGAGGGGGTTACTGATGCGTTCCCATCACTCCTGGGAGTTGCGTCCCCACGCCTGCAAAGTGGTTCCCAAATGCCCTGTGGCTGCAAGCGCTGAGCCCCTCTCTCCAGGTCACCCCTTTGCCTATTGCTGCCCCACACATGGGAGGGTGCCCCCTAGGTATGGATCGGAGGCTCAGGGACGCCTTTTGTCTGCTTGAGCTGGGCCTCCAGGGCTGAATTGGAGGCCAGTGCTGCTCTTTTCCCTGAGGTGGGGTTCTTGGGGGACCTCTGATTTTCAGGGTTACATGTGGGTATCTTTCCTCACAGGGCGAAACTGGACCTCCAGGTCTGCCTGGGCCCCTGGTGAGTGTCCCTGGCTGGGGAGACAACCTTTTTCTAGTCTGGAGAGAAAGAGGGGACTCAGAACAGAGGGGTCATTGATGTCCTGTCGCATCCTGCCGGAGCCCGGGTTGCCTAAGCGGAGGCCTCAGAGGGCCCAGAGCAGGCCCGGAGCCAGGGGGGCGGGAGGGGAGTGCGTGGGCTCAGCCTCTGCATGTTCTGGGCAGGGCCTGACTTTGAGCTTTCTTTGGACCAGTGCCAGGCAGGCCAGGTGCCCCAGGCCCAAGGTCGCACGGAGCCCTCCCACCTTCTCCAGCCCCAGGGATTGAGGGTCCTGGGGCTCAGAGTCCTGTCTGGCCCACTGGGGGTCCAACAGAGATGCCTGCTGGCCCTTAGCCAGGGAGGCTGAGGTGACCAGATGAAGATCTTACAGATGCCACTGAGGGATGAGGCAGGCAGCCTTCCTGGGCCAGCAAGGTGTGGGCAAGCAGGACACGCGTGCCCCAGCTGAGCTGGGTCTGCCAGACGGCAGGGAGGACCCAGGTGGGGGGGAATTGGAAAGCATTTTGCTTCCTTGCTGAAGGCCTGGGCTCGGAGCCAGACCCCGCCCTCACATCTCTGCCCTTTCCTCCTGCACAGGGACCAAAGGGGGCCCCAGGAAAGCCGGGGAAATCAGGAGAGGCCGGGCTGCCGGGACTGCCGGGTGTGGACGTGAGTGCGCCTGCCCCTCCCCCCGTGCCCCGCTCCCCGTTCCAAGGCTCTGGAGGAGTCCAGCCTTAATTGCTGTTGTCCAGCTGGGCCTGCTCAGGCGGGAAGCCCAGTCCTGAGAGAAGTCTCCAGAAGCCCCCGACAGGGGTCCTTTGGCCTTCGTCCCAGACGCCACTAGCATCTGGCAGAGGACAGAGCCAGCCCAGTGGAGTCGGAAGTCCCGCCAGCCTTCTCTTGTCCAGGAACGAGTGCCCATTGTCAGGCCCCTCTGCTCACTGCTGCCCGGGCCCCTGTGAGCCCCAGGCTGGCCTCGCTCAGTCGTCATGGGCTCCAGGCCTGGCCCCAGGGCCACTGGAGCTTTATTCGGGAAGCCAGGCCTGAGAAGTGAGCTGTCCAGTCCTACTGGGTTGGTCCCCGAGGCCTGACTACAGCAGGGGCCTCCGTTGCTGGCTTCCTGCTGGCTGCCCCCCTCCTCCCAGGCCCTCTGGGCACAGCAGGTAGACAATGGACAGGGCCAAGAGAGGAGGCTGCCAATCTAAGGGTCTTCTGTGCCTCTCTGGACTCACCAAGGGAAGGGTCCATGCTTCCATTTTTGCCTGGGAGTGGCATGTGCTTCCCATGTGGCCCCTCAAACTCACCCTCTGCCTCTTTCCCCAGGGTCTGACTGGGCGAGATGGACCCCCTGGACCCAAGGGTGCCCCTGGGGAACGGGTAAGTGCCTGCGCCAAACCCAGTGGCTTCAGTTCAGAAGTGAAGTCCCCCGGCCACCTCTGGCTGTTCTGTGTCCACAAGGCCAAGGAGCTGGTAGTTCCAAGGACAGCTGCCCTGCCCGTGCCTGGGGTGGAGGGGCAGAAGGGCAGGGTGCCACGTGGCCAGTCCCCTGTGCCTGCCTCCCTGCCCCACCCCCACATATGGTCAGAATTGTCCTGGTATCCAGACCATGGCAGGGAGAAGAGGGATGGTTTGGGGGAACCCACCCCAGGTGCCTCCTCAGAATGTCCCTGCAGCCCCCAGGGCCCTGGGTGGACCACCACCAGGCGGACCACCACCAGGGACCCCGGGCACGCAACCTGCAGAGTCCCCTGTGCCTGCCTGCTGGACACTGAATCCTTTACCCTAACTGAGCGGCGCCACCGCCCAAGGGTGCCTTTCTCCCCTCGTGGCTTCTGAGTACAAAACCGAAACCAGCATTCTCTCTTCGGCCCTCATAAGACATGGCAGTCAGCCACCCGGGTGCCACCGACCCCAGACTCAAAGCATCACAGAGGGCAGGAAGGCTGGGCTGGGGACACAAGGACACAGCCCTGCCCGTGGGCCCCTTGGGAGCTCGTCAGGCATGAGGCGGATTCTGAGCTGAAAACAGGAGGGAAACAGTAGCTGCTGGTGGCCGAGTCCGTGGTGCCCGGGGGTGTGGGGTGGTGCCCGGGGGTGTGGGGTGGGCTCGTCTCCAGGCTTTCAGGAGGGCCCTCCAGCCTCAGAGCAGGGCCCGTGTGAGCCGTCCAGGGAATGAGACATTTCAAGCAGCAGGGCCCAGACAGGGCCCAGAGTTTGGAGAGCAGACGGGACCTGGCTGCCCAAGGCTCTGGGGACTTGCTGACGTGGGCGGGGGCTGAGGATTCAGCAGGCTCCGTGGGTGGGTTATCAGGAGGGCTTCCTGGTGGAGACAGGCACCTGGGGTCACTTCTGTGCATCTCAGACCTGCCCCAGGTCGCGCCTTCGCCTTTCTGTAGCAGGCACTGGGACTCTGGTGCCATCTGTCTCCGGCAGCTCCCCAGGACGGCAAAGACCCTCCAGGTCGAGGGCTCAGAGGCCCTGCCCCTCTGTGGACTGGGGACTTGGACCCTGTTGCCCTGGGAGCTGGAGTTGTGGGTCTCACTTCAGCGGGAGGGGATTGAGTTTGCAAATAGAGGCCCAGCCCAACCTAGACGCCTGCTTTCCTCCCACAGGGAAGTCTGGGACCCCCGGGGCCGCCCGGGCTGGGGGTGAGTATGGAGTGTGGTCCTCTCCTCTCTGTGGAGTTTGGGGAACTGGAGAGTCTGGTCTAAATGGCATCCAGGAATCACAGGGGCCATCCCTGGCCCTCTCCTCTGCCACCCCTCTGCAGCCTCTCCGGAGGCTGGTGCCTGGACAGGGTCTTGGAGCCCTCTCTGGGCTGGGACCAGATGCCCATGCTTGGAACCGCCCTTTCCCCGGGACCCACCTGAACCATCTTAGGGAGGGGTGAGGCGCAGCCCATCTTGTGCCCAGCAGGCTCTGACCCCATGTTTGGCTTTGCAGGGCAAAGGCCTCCCTGGACCCCCCGTGAGTACTGACAACCCTTGGGGCCCTGAGCAAGCGTGAAAGTACCCAGAGCCTGCCAGGCTGGGATGTCCCAAACCGTGCCTGGGTGTGGGGCTTCTCAGGGGCAGTGATCTGACCACCCCATACCTGGAGCCCCCCTCCCTTCGGAGGCGGCACACCGACCCTGGGTGGGGATCCTCGGGGCGCCCGGGTGCAGACCTCCTCACCTCCCTTTACCTCCCTCCAGGGAGAGGCAGGAGTGAGCGGCCCCCCAGGTGGGATCGGCCTCCGCGGCCCCCCGGTGAGTGGCTGTCCCAGACCCTCTTAGAGTGTGCTCACCTGTGGCCTCCACCCCCAGACTCAACAGCCAGGGACCCTCTTCCCCTCTCCCCTTTCCCTTTCTCCCCCACCCCTACCTTGGTAGGTGTTGGTAGAAGCCCTGGCCAATGATCCAGACCCGACCCCAGGACGCAGACACCAGCAGAGGCCGTGGGGGTGGGGGCTGGCGGGAGCTGGGCGTGTCCACCTCCCTGGGAGAAGCCGGGCACCTCACTTAGGTGGGGGCTGGTCCCACTCTAAGTCATACCACTCTAAGACATACCCCCTCCCCAGGGACCGTCTGGACTCCCCGGCCTCCCTGGCCCCCCGGGACCTCCCGGACCCCCTGTAAGTACTGGGCAGAGGCTCTAAGAAGTGCTGGGCATGGACTAGAGCACCGGGTTGGGCCCTCCCCCTTCCCCCTTCCCCCTTCCCCCTTCCCCCTTCCCCCTTCCCCCTTCCCCCTCCGCAGGCTCCATGCCCTCCAAGATCTCCTAACCCTAACTTGGCCACTCCTAGGAACAGTCAGTGGTGGGGGCAGTGGCTGTGGCTAGGCCAGCCAACTTGGGGATGATCAGGGCTCAGGTCCCCAAGGCCACCCTGCCCCAAGGACAGGTGGATTCTGTCATTGTCACATGCACTGTGGGTGGGCCAGCAGCACCCAGCACTGGCCACTTGGGGGACGGGATGAAGGGTCTCCAAGTCCCCTGGTGGATGGGGAAGGTCATGGTCTGTCAGAGAGTGGGTGGCCGGGTTGGGTGGGTGCAGGTGGACGGGGAGGGCAGGAGAATGTCAGCTGTCTCTTTGTGTCTTAGGGACACCCAGGAGTCCTCCCTGAAGGCGCCACTGACCTTCAGGTAGGCACTTGCAGCCATATGTGAAGGGCGCTGGGAGGTGCCTACCTTGGGGGGCGGGGTCTGGCCTGGAGAGGGACTCGTCCATCCTGGCAAGAAGGCAGGGCCCGAGCACTCCCTGGGGACGGGAGCTCAGTGCAGACAGCTCAGACACAACCTGGCAGAGAGCCTGGCTGGGACCTCCCCCTCCCGCTTTCTGCCCTCCTCGCCACCGCCTAGACCTGCACTGTCCCTCACGAAGCCACCAGGGCGTGGAGCTGTGCAAATGTAATGAATCACAATCATGTCACAGAGCCATCGAACTCCCCTGCGTCATCCGCAGAGGGCACCTTTGGCCACAGATGGCGACAGAATAGTCCCTCGCTGTGTTCGGGACTGGACTCTGGGGCCCACCTTTATCTTGATCTTTGAGCCATGTCAATCACCCGAAAAGAAAACAGGCTCAGGCCAGGCACAGTGGCTTACGCCTGTAATCCCAGCACTTTGGGAGGCCAAGACAGGAGGATTACTTCAGCCCAGGAGTTTGAGACCAGCCTGGGCAACATAGTGAGATCTTTGTGTCTACAAAAAATTTTTAAAGTAGCCAGACGTGGTGGCATGCCTGTTGTCCTAGCTATTTAGGTGGCTGTGGTGGGAGGATCACTTGAGCCCAGGAGGCAGAGGTTGCAGTGTGCTGTGATCAAGCCACTGCACTCCAGCCTGAGCAACCAAGCTAACCCCTGTCTCAAAAAAAAAAAAAGAAAAAAAAAAATGAAGAGGAAAGAAAATGGGCTTGGGAGGCCACGGATCCATCTCTCCTCTGTTTGGCCGTCTGCGGTGGCAGTCAGTGACTCGTTTCCATAGAGAGGTTTGATAGTTTTGAAGGGAAAAGCTCGGCCCACTCCGACCTGGCCACCGGTGGCTGTCTACCGGCCTCTCTCCTCACCCCACCCCGGGGCCCGGGTGCCTGGCCAGCCTATGTCTCAGAAGGGAGGCTTTAGGGAACCTTCCAGAATGTGATGTGTGATTGGGCCCCGACCATGGGATGAGTGGGGCGGGGGCTGAAGATACGAGTCTGAACCCTTGGCCCAGCCTGCCCACTGCAGCTGTGGGATAATCTGGAAGCAGCCCTGGGTTTCCTGAGCATCAGGCCTGTTGCCCAGGCTCACGGTGTCCCTCCTAAAAGCCCCGTGCTAAGCACGTTCCTGTGCTGAGGACGGCCCCGACCTAAGGCTGCTGCAAGGCCCCCTGCAGAGCCAACTGCCCGTGCTGTGCTGAATGGCTGCTTTGAAACCCAGTGTCTGCCGTGGGGCTGAGAAATCCGAGCCGGCTGCTCTATGCAGCCCCCCTGCGCTTGGCCAGTGCTGAAGGAGACCCTGTCTGTGTCCTGTCCTGGTGCCGTCACCGGGGCGGAGTGGCCTCCTGCGGTCCCGTCACCCGTGCGGAGTGGCCTCCTGGGGTCCCATCACCGGGGCGGAGTGGCCTCCTGGGGTCCCGTCACCCGTGCGGAGTGGCCTCCTGGGGTCCCATCACCGGGGCGGAGTGGCCTCCTGGGGTCCCGTCACCCGTGCGGAGTGGCCTCCTGGGGTCCCATGGGTGCTGACCTCTGTGTCAGAGGGTCCTGCTCTGTTTGGCTGGAAGGGGTCTGACTGCTCTGTTTTCCGACAGTGCCCAAGTATCTGCCCACCAGGTCCCCCAGGGCCCCCTGGAATGCCGGGGTTCAAGGTGAGTCACTGGGACCCAAGCACTGCCCTATGCTGGGCAGGAGGTGACCGGGCTCCCATGGGGCTGTGGGGGTGGCAGGTCCAGAAAGCTGGGCCCTGGTTCCAGGGTTGCCCCAGGAAGAAAGCCAGTCCAGCCTCCCTGTCCCGCCTTCAGCACCCCAGTGACAAGCTGATGTGGCCAGGCTGGGACTGGTAATGGGCGTCAGAGAAACTGTGGGGGAGCGCTAGTCTCAAGCCCCCACCCCTCCAGCCCTGGCCCGCTTCTGACCGCAGAGCGCCCTCAGGTGGGTCCCAGCACCTCTCAGGCCTCGGTTTCCCCATGAGGGCCCAGGCCCGCAGTCCTGTACTGCCGTGTGGCGGGCCCTGGGCTGACTGACCCTGCAGGCCTCACTTCAGTGTTGCCAGGGAGGGGGCGTCGGGGGGTTGGGGGGGACAGTGACCCCATGTTTGCTTTCAGGGACCCACTGGCTACAAAGGCGAGCAGGGGGAAGTCGGCAAGGACGGTGAAAAGGTAAAGCTGCCGCACAGCAGCTGGGGAGGGGCTGGGGCCTGGGGGCTGGGCTCGGGCGGGAGGGAGGGGCTGTCTCATGGGCGTGCCTGCGCTGGCACCTGCTGTGCCCATCTTCTGGGGGCCTGGCTGGCCTGGCTGTGGAAGCTTTCCCTGGTTTGTGTCTGTGGCCGGGCAAGGGGCGTCTGTGAGGATGACTGGCTTTAGCCCGTAGCCTCCCCTCACCTGTGGCTACTGCCCATGGAGGGTGTCCATTGTCACCTGCAGGCTGGGGGACCGGGTCTGGGGTGGCCTTTAGCATGGCTGGAGTGATCAGATGAGGACACCCAGGTGCACATCAGAGGGGTCCCTGCTTGGCCATGAGGAGGGGCCTGGACAGGGCTGAAGGGTCTTATGGGAACAGTGGCCACAGACCCAGCCCCCACAGGGCGAGGCCACCGAGACTCGCAGGACTGCTCTGGAGCTGTGCGCAAGTGACCCCTTCGCAGAGCCTCCAAGGCCCAGCTGTGAAGGGGGCAACGCCCCCAGCTGCTTGGACTTGAGTAGGGTGACTGGAGGCACCGAATGGTGCAAGGAGAGCCAGACTGGGCCACTGACCACCCTGTCCCCTCTGTTTCAGGGCGACCCTGGCCCCCCTGGGCCCGCCGGCCTCCCGGGCAGCGTGGGGCTGCAGGTGAGGCTAGGAAGGGGTAAGGATGGTGGGATGGGAACTCAGCCCTGCACATGTCTATCCCCGAGGGGGCCGTCTCGGGCTGGGGAGTGTTTGGCCAATACCCAGGCACAGGAGCGCGACCTGGCTGGGGGTCTCACCTCTGCCAAGGCTGCTGATCTCAAGGCTGGTGCCCCCTACCTCTGGGGGACCTGAGCTGAGGCTGAGGGCTCATGGAAGACACCAGGGCTCCCAGGGGTACCCTGAGGGCCGAGGCCCTGCGTGCTCCCCGGGGTGGAGGTGAAGCCCTAGTCTCTGCATCTGTGCCTCTCTCCCGCAGGGCCCGCGGGGATTACAAGGACTGCCAGGGCCACTCGGGCCCACCGGGGACAGGGTAAGTCCTGCAGCCCCTAGTGGGGGCCGGCCAGGTGGCTGGGGGCCTGGTTGTCCACACCTCCAGACTTCAGATGGGCCCCGTGAGTGACGCTGTGAAGCAGCCGGCACCCTGGCTCTGGCCGTCGCCGCTGTGGTGCAGGCCTTGCTCTGGGCCCCAGTTCTCGCATGTGCTCTGGGCCCCTGTTCTCGCGTGTGCCTGGGCTGACAGTCAGCAATCACGGACACCCACACGCGGTCCCAGGCTGCTGTGGGGGCTGTTCTCTCGTGTGCCTGGGTGAGGGCTGATGAACTGCTCGCTGACACCCACACGCGGTCCCAGGCTGCTGTGAGGGCTGTTGTGGTTTAGGCCAGAGCAAGGGGCAGGAGGGATTTGGAGACGACCAGGTGGCATCTTGGGGGAACTTGCTGGGGAGCCCTAGAGGAAGGGCTGCTTGTGTCTGGGCCTCCCCTGAGGGAGCACTGGGGGGATGCCAGCCAGGCCTGAGACAAGAGGACCCCAGATCCCCTCTCTCTGCAGGGTCCCGTCGGGTTCCGAGGGCCGCCTGGGATCCCAGGAGCGCCTGGGAAAGCGGTACGTGTGTCAGTGGACGGTGGGTCCCATGCCTCGTGGCCTCTCTCCCCTTTCCCTCTGCTCCTCTCAGATGCCCCCAGCCCCACTGGGGCCCCCCTTCTGTGGCTGAGCTGTTCCCTGGACACCCTGGGAGGGCTTGTGGCATGAGTAGGGGGTGCTTACCAATGGAATCCATTCTTCGTGGGACATTCGCCTCCTTTCTGGTTCTGGATGTGGAACGAGAGGTCACCATTGTCCCTGTGGCACCTCCGGCCATCTCTGACCACTTCTGGAGGGCTGTCCCCTGCCCGGGCCTGGAGGGGCCCCCATCCCACTCTCTGACCATCTCTGTGGTGTTAACTCTGTCCCTGTCCCACCTTATTATTTCCAGGGTGACCGAGGCGAGAGGGGCCCAGAAGGGTTCCGTGGCCCCAAGGGTGACCTCGTAAGTGAGAGGGAACTTGGTTCCCTGGGTCCTTATGTGGAAGAACCCAATTTCCCTCCTGACTCGTGCTGGGGAGGGGGACACACTTGGGAGTGAGACTGTGAGGGGCCACCCTGGGTGGGCCTGGGGGTGCGTGGGGGTGAGCCTGGCCCTGGAGGGCCCCAGCTCTCTCCCTGGCCCCAGCTGTTCTCCCAGAGCCACATGGGAGCTCTGTGGCCCCTGCAGAGCGGCCAGCGGGCCGGGTAGAGGGATCAGGTTCCAGGGCTTGGATCCTGCCCCAGAGAAACAGCTCTTGGGTTGAGCAAGTGAACATAAGGAAAGTCCAGAGACAGTCAAGCGTTCCAGGAGTGGAACTGAAGTGACCGTCCCCAGACTGGTCAGCCTCCACACCTCCCTCGACCGAGCCCTCGCAGCCAGAGCAGCAGGGAGCCACCATGCCGTGCTGCAGCACCCATGGATCCAAACACAGTTTTCTCTGAGCACCCACAGGCCCCAGGGTGGTGGTCGGGGGTGGCCCCTGCCACTGCCCTCCACAGCTCGTTGGTGTCCCCGAGCAGCTGGCCGGGGAATGCGTGAGGCCATCTGGGAAGAGACTGCCACTGCCTCTGTCACTTGTGTGTCCTCTAGGGCAGACCTGGTCCCAAGGGAATCCCTGGAGTGGCCGGGCCAAGTGGGGAGCCGGTGAGTGCACGTGGCTACTCCCCCGAGAATGCTCCTCCCCTGGGTGCTGGCTACGTACAGGCAGAGGCCGCATTCAGAAGAGCTGGAGCTCAGTGCCCTCTGCTGTGGCCATCTTGAAATCTGGGTTAACGGTTGAACAGCCCCACTGCCCTGCACATTTCTCTTTTGCCCAGAGCCTCACGAGTGTGCAGGAGTAGGGGCCTCAGGCTGGGTTTGCCTGCATGGAGGACATGGGAAGTAAGGGTGGGTGGGCAGCACCGCTGGGCAGAGGTGGCCACTCCTGGGGTCCCAGGCACCCGTGCAGGCATCTTCCTTCCTGCTGTGTGCCCACCCTCAGCCCAGACTGGAGCTCCCGTCCAGCCCCTCGTGTTGCCTCTGCCCCTGGAGCGGTGCCCTCTCTTGGGACACCCAGCACTTGGCTGTGTCCTGATTCCAAAACCAGTCCAGGGTGGACGAGGCAGGCCTGGCCTGAGTCCTGGCTCCCAAGCCTCAGTTTTCACCCCGTAAAATGGGCCAGAACCGAACTTCCCTTAGGGCACCATGATGTGCCTCGTGGACAAGGCCTCGGGCGTCCGCGCGGCTTCAGCACCGCCTCTGCCACCCACCGCACCCCTCGCCTGTGTGGTCACCGAGGCAGCACTGGTTGCCACAGGCCACCTCGATCATGAAACCAAACAACTGCCAGGGTTTGGGGGCAGACACAGTGTTAGGTTGATGGGGAAGGAGGCTGCCCCCAGGGCGGGACTGTAGAGGAAGGGAGCGGGGGCCGCCTGCCCAACGGGCCTTACGCATTCCCTGTCCCCAGGGCATGCCGGGCAAGGACGGCCAGAATGGTGTGCCAGGACTCGATGGCCAGAAGGTTGGCATGGGGCTCAGGGTGTGATGAGAGGGAGGGGCTGGAGGGGAGTTCAGCCTTCTGAGGCCTCAGCCTCCCCTTCCCCACCCCAATCTCTGTCCTCACAGGGGGAGGCTGGTCGCAGCGGTGCTCCGGGAGAGAAGGGCCCCAACGGGCTGCCGGTGAGTGCCTGGTGGGTGGGGCCAGCCTGGGGTGCCATAGCTTCTGCCTGCCCAGGGGCCCCTGTCGGGCTGGGTGGGTTGGTCGCTGTAGGGCTGGCTCCCTGTGAGGGGTTCTGGGGCCTGTGTCCATCAGGGCCTGGCACAACCCCTGGCTCCCAGTGGGTGCTGTGCCCGGTGGATTGCCTGTGTGTGTGCATATGTGTGCTTATTCATATGTACGTGGGACATGTGTGAACACGTGTATGGCCATCCCTGGATGCCGTGCGGTCATCACCCCCGGGGCCCGGAGTAGGGGCTCCTGCATCCAAGGCCAGGGAAGCTCTCAAAGCCGCACGTAAGGTCGACAAGGCTGGGAGAAGTCAGCCCTGCCCTTTGGGTGCGCTCACTCTGGCCCCTGCACCCTGCCTGTGTGCACATTGCCTTGACGAGCAGCCCTGACCTCAAGCTCTCTCCTGGCAGGGACTCCCCGGACGAGCAGGGTCCAAAGGCGAGAAGGGAGAAAGGGTATGTGGCTGCAGCTGCTTTCTCTCTGCAAAGGGAGGCGAGGGGACAGGAGGCGAGAGGCCGGGAGGCGAGGTGTAGGTGTAGGCAGGCACTCACAGCTTTCCTTTCTCTGCAGGGCAGAGCTGGGGAGCTGGGTGAGGCTGGCCCCTCGGGAGAGCCAGGCGTCCCTGTGAGTATCTGCGGCGCCCCAGACCCCACCCCATCTCGCATGTGTGCAGGCCCTGCCCTCACACCCTCCTTCCCTTCCCTGTAGGGAGATGCTGGCATGCCTGGGGAGCGCGGTGAGGCTGGCCACCGGGGCTCAGCGGTGAGTGCAGGGATGTGGCCCTGGGTCGGGGGTTAGCACTGAGCCGTTGGCACGTGGGCCCAGTTTCTGAGCAGGCCGGGGTGGCATTTGGTTGCCTTGATGAGCCAGGCTCACAAAAGCCGAGGATGCTGGGAGGTGTGGGGCCCTGCCTTCTTGTCCCTCGCCCACTGGGAGATGGTCCGGGCCAGGCCGGAGCTGCCCTGTTTTCAAGCCCTCTACGCTGAGCCTAGCCTTGTGCCCCTGTAGACTGAGATGACAGCACGAGCCACAGGACCCTGGTCGGGGGAGCCATGGGCATAGGTGTCTGGCCCCGAGTCTGACCTGACAAATTGGGTCCAGGGCATGCCTGCGTTCTGAGACCCCCTAAACTGCCCTGGGAGGTAGCCCTGCCTCTGTCCCCAGCAATCCAGCCAGGTGGCTTAGAACTGGCTCCAGTGTCCACCCAGCTCTGGGGGAAGGCCGAGCCAGGCTCCCTGGGACCTCTTGGGGGCTCCTCGAAACCTGAGACATCCGCTCACACCTCATCTTTGTCTTCCAGGGGGCCCTTGGCCCACAAGGCGCTCCCGGAGCCCCTGGCATCCGAGGCTTCCAGGTGGGTGAGGTTGGGGCAAGGGCCTGGCACAGGGGGCGGCATACCCAGACGGGTGAGACCCGACAGGGTATGGGCACTGATGAGCCAGGACCTCCTTCCCCAGGGCCGGAAGGGCAGCATGGGAGAACCCGGCCTTCCAGGCCCCCAGGGCCTCCGAGGTGATGTGGGCGACCGGGTAAGTGGCCCTCTCAGCAGGAAGCACCCCTGCGCCCCCATCCCCACCCCCTACCACAGTCCCCAACCCCTACCACAGTCTCCACCCCCTACCACAGTCCCCAGCTCCCTGCCACAGTCTCCACTCCCTACCACAGTCTCCACTTCCCTAGCACCAACAGTCTCCACCCCTACCAACAGTCTCCACCCTACCACAAAAAAAAAGGGTTCCCTCCACCCCGTACCACAGTCCTCCACGACCCTCCACAGTCTCCGCACCCGACACAGTCTCCCACCCCTGACCACCAGTCTCCACCTTACCAACAAGTCTCCCCACCCCGTCTACCCACAAGTCCACCCCTACCACAGTCTCCACACCTACCAACATGTCCACCCTACACAGTCCAACCTACCCCCCACGCCCCTGCCCCACAGTCTGTCCACCGGCCCTAACCAAAAGTCCTTCCCACCCCTACCACAGTCCCAACCCTACCAACAGTCCGCACCTACACAGTCCCAACCCTACCACCAAGTGCCCACACCCTACCACAGTCCAACCACCCCTACCACAGTCCAAACCGCACCACAGACCCACCCTGCCACAGTCCCCACCCACAGTCCCCAACCCCCTACCACAGTGCCCCGGGACGCAGACAGGGAGAGGCCCTCATAGCTCCCGGTGGCAATTCTGACCATGGGCAGTGTCTCCCTGCATGGTGGAGGCAGTGGCATCAGGGCCCCAACTGTGGCACCTTCGGCCCCTCTGACCTTCCATGTGGTGTTCCTTGTGGGTGGGTGGCTGCAGGAGCCTGGGCTCTGCCTCCTGCCCTGTGTAGAGGCCTGGCAGGGGACCTGGCGGGCGACCTGCACACAGGCAGTGCTGATTCCTCAGGACTGGCGTGGAGGCTGAGGCTCCAAGAGCCAGGCCGGCTCCTGCCTGCCGTGTCTGCGGAGGCACCATTGACAGAGGATTGCGCTGCTATAAAATGGGTTTGAACACCAAGTCCCAAGTGACCACAACAGTCACAGTTTCTACCTCGTCAAGACTTTTTCCTGCTGGGCTTGCAGCAGCTGCGGCGTCGGCTCCTTGGGGTCCGGGCAGAAGGGGGACATGGCCTGCCCAGGGCCCCAGCTCACTGGGAGGAGCCTATGGGTCTGGTCTGGGCCCCAGCCACGCTCCGCCAGGTCCCTGGGGACCTCGTGTGCCTGCTGTGGCCGCCTCTGCCCGGCAGACAGACCCCTTTTTGGACGTGAATCCCGAGAAGCCCCCAGGACACAGCTGCAGATGCCCGTGCCTCCAGGGTGATGGCCAGGGCTGTAGACACCACCGCCCCATGGGGAATAGCGGGCCGTTTTTTAGCCTCCAGGCAGGACATTCTAGAGGTGGGGGCCATGCCAGCAGCCTCAGGGCCTCCGAGAGATGTCAGGGCTGGCACTTGCCCTGCGGGTACTGCGCCTGTCCCAGGTGTGGGTGGGGCCTGGTGGCTGAATTTCCCTTTTGCTTTAAACTCACAGGAAAGCCTCCTGCTTTTCTGCCCCTTGGGCAAGTTCTCACTTACACGGCCATGTGAGCACGTGGACGTTTTTTAAAGGGGTTCATAGCAACTCCCGGACATGTCCTAATGTCACAATCCCAGGGGAAGGTGATTAGATGAGCTTTTGCATCTTTGACTCCACTGTGATGGAATTATCCTGCGATTGTGCAAAAATACCCGCACGAATTCACGGGTGTTACAAACAATGCCAAACCTAACGGGACTGCACTACCCACAAGGGGAGACTGGACAGAGCCGTCGGGCCCAGAGGCTGTGAACCTGAGCTTGGTCTATGGGCCTGTGTCTGGGAGGCTGTGTTCACAGAAGCCCTTTGTACAGCACAGATGGGGATGTGGGGAGGTGTTTACCATTCCTGGGCCCAGGGCAGGCTTACTTTAGGGATTCTTGTCATTCCTCTAATCCAGAGCCTTTTCTCCACTCCCAGGGTCCGGGAGGCACCGCAGGCCCTAAGGGAGACCAGGTGAGCTGGGCGCAGGCCGGGGCAAAAGGAATGATGGCAAAGCTGCACGGCTTCTCCCAGACCCTGCCTGCCCTGGCTCTGGCCCTGGCTGTGTTTTCGGGACACTGAGCCTCCTTTCTCCTCTTGCTGTCTCCGTCGGTCGCCCTTTCTGGCTCCTGCCACTCCTGCTTAGGACAGCGACAACAGCACTGGACACCCAGCCCCCAGGCATGCCCCAGCGTCCCCCGCTGCCTTCCTGGGTGCAGACGGCTGGCCAGAGTGTCCCTGCATGGCCCTGGGTGCAACAGAAGCTACTTCTGGTACAGGAGGCACCAACAGGGACCCTCAAAAGGACGGAGGTGTTTCCTGCCGTCCTTTTGGAGAACGAACAGAGGGAAGGGGCTAGGCTCTGCGTGTGTGTTTTGCAGGCAGATTTGAAATGCATTTCTGCTCTTCCAAGCACTTCTCTCTCTGGAAAAGTGTCGGGGTGGCTGGGGCCGTGGTCGTGGCTGCCCTGCCCTCCTGCACTGCCTGCTCTGGGTGAGTGGGGCCGTGGTTTTTGTGGCTCCCCTGCAGTGCCTGCTCTCACTTCTGGGCACACGGCCTTTCCATACAGCTGGAGGGCCTGCGGCCATCGAACCCCACCTTCGGTTCTGCTTGGCAGAAAAGCCTCATTATGCAAACAAATGTCTTCCCTTTTTTGGCCCCGCCTCTGCCTGCAGGTCTCCCAAGGCAGGGTCCGGGGCTGCCTTTGGAGCTGATTAAAAGGCAGTGAGACCCTGGGGCCTGGGCTTTTGGCCTGGACCTCAGGATGAACATTACACCCACGGAGGCTTGAGAGCAGGGAGTTTAAGGCATGAAGTCTCTACTCATGCATGAACAGCTCTTTTAACTTTGGGGTGTATTGTTTTCAGGGCATTGCAGGTTCCGACGGTCTTCCTGGGGATAAAGGAGAACTGGTGAGTAATTAGGTAACCTCACTGTCACCAATAGCTGGGAGCGAGGTTGTCACTGTGGCCGGGGAGCAGTCCTGGGGACAGGGTCAAAATCTGCAGCTCTCGGTGGAAGATCTGCAGCTCTGCTGGGCAGCGTGGGGATGGAGCAGGGTCGGGCAGAGGCCCTGGCCACTGGCCGTCCCTAAGCAAGTGGGCAGGGCCTGGCAGGAAAGCGAGGCGGCTCTGAAGCCTGACCTGACCAGGTCAGATCTGTGGGGCTCCCGCACTCTGCCCCGTGGAGTGGCACCTGCCTGAAGCAGTCACAGCGGCGTTTTTGTTTTGTTTTCTTGTTTTTGTTTTTTTTGGGGGTTTTTTTTTTGAGACGAAGTTTTGCTCTGTTGCCCAGGCTGGAGCACAGTGGTGCGATCTCAGCTTACTGCAGCCTCTGCCTCCTTGGTTCAAGCGATTTTCCTGCCCCAGCCTCCCGAGTAGCCAGGATTACAGGCCCTCCCACAGCCGACTAATTTTTTATGTTTTCTGGGGGTTTTTGTTTGTTTGTTTGTTTGTTTTGAGACGGAGTCTTGCTCTGCGGCCCAGGCTGGAGTGCAGTGGTGTGATCTCGGCTCACTGCAAGCTCCGCCTCCCAGGTTCACATCATTCTCCTGCCTCAGCCTCCCGAGTAGCTGGGACTACAGGCGCCCGCCATCGCGCCCGGCTAATTTTTTGTATATTTTTAGTAGAGACGGGGTTTCACCGTGTTAGCCAGGATGGTCTCGATCTCCTGACCTCATGATCCGCCCGTCTCGGCCTCCCAAAGTGCTGGGATTACAGGCTTGAGCCACCGTGCCCGGCCACCTAATCACTTCTTAAAGGCCCCACCTCTTTTTATTTTTTTTGAAATGGAGTCTCGCTCTGTCGCCCAGGCTGGAGTGCAGTGGCCGGATCTCAGCTCACTGCAAGCTCCGCCTCCCGGGTTGACGCCATTCTCCTGCCTCAGCCTCCTGAGTAGCTGGGACTACAGGCGCCCGCCACCTCACCTGGCTAGTTTTTTTGTATTTTTTAGTAGAGACGGGGTTTCACCATGTTAGCCAGGATGGTCTCGATCTCCTTACCTTGTGATCCGCCCATCTCGGCCTCCCAAAGTGCTGGGATTACAGGCTTGAGCCACCGCGCCCGGCCAAGGCCCCACCTCTTAACAGCATCGCAGTGGCCCTTCAATTCCAGCATGTGTTTTGGAGGAGACACTCAGCCCAGCCGACTGTGTGTTGACGCACCTGCGGCCAGTCATTTCTGAGGACCCGACTGGAGGGGGTCCCAGGGTTTTAGGGCAGAGAGGTTCAGCCTAGCATTAGGCATGTTAGTAAGAAAAAGAAATGGAAATGAAGTAAGCGTGTGTAGGAGACAGCACCACACAGCTACCAAAGTCACTCTTCCCGGGAAAGTAAATTTTTAAAACGCTTCAATCAATCAACACAATCACAGCAATATAAAAAATGTATATAGAAGAACAGAAGGAAGGAACCACTGTCAATATTTGGATGTAGTCTAATAGCAGGTGTGTGGATGACTTGATTTATTTTATCCTCGACTGGCTACTTCCCACCCACCCAACAATACACACTTAGTTAAAACACACAACTCTTCTCTCCTCAGGGTGCCAGCGGCCCGGTCGGACCCAAGGGAGAGGTGAGTGCCCGGCCACTGTTCCAACGACACAATCCGTGGGTGCCTGCTGGCTTCCTGCCCACTGCTGGGCAACCAGGCGGCCCTGCAGGGCACTGCCCAGATCCGAGATTGTAAAAAAGCTTGCTCTGGTCAAGGCTGGGCAAGATGGCTCCGTGCCGGCCAGGAAAAGAGCATGTCAGGGTGGCTCTGGGCTCCTGGGCTCACCCCTGACCCGCCTTCCTCTGTTTCTCTGCAGTCTGGCAGTCGAGGGGAGCTGGGCCCTAAAGGCATCCAGGGTCCCAACGGCACCAGCGGCGTTCAGGGTGTCCCCGGACCCCCTGGTCCTCTGGGCCTCCAGGGCGTCCAGGGTGTTCCTGGCATCACGGGGAAGCCGGGCGTTCCGGTACGTCGCTTTTCCAGCTTTCACAGGATTGAGATCGTGTTTTTTCCTGAAGGAAGTTTGCGGGGTGATGGTGGGAATGCCTTACAGAGGCTGCCGCCTCCATGCTGACGAATGTGTGGGGTGAATTCCAGGGGAAGGAGGCCAGCGAGCAGCGCATCAGGGAGCTGTGTGGGGGGCTGATCAGCGGTAAGTCAGATACCCGCACGGCTGCAGCAGGGCCCGTCCCCACCTGGGGTTCCCGTGCCTGGGGCTACACACAGCCTTCGCGCCACCACTTTCCAGCCAGACTGAGCCGCTAGCACTCACCCTGCCTCTTAGCCCTTGGGGGTCCACGTCCGCCTTGGCATCTGCCCGTCCTCTGCACCAGAGGATGGCCCACTCTCTGGCCCCGGATTCAACCAGATGCCTGGCACGCAGTAGACGCCCTAAAGTCTACTGAATGTGATGGGTACAAGAATAGCGGAGTGTGCCCCTGTGGCTGGCAGGGCAGGTCCCCAAACGCCCCCGAGGGCACTTCCTTCACCTTCCCATTCTCAGGCTCCAAGGGGTTGGGGCTGCCCTTCACGTCCCAATAAAGGATTTAAATGCTCTACGATCATTGGTTGATCCTACTTCTTTTCTGTCATCCAGATAATGTCCCGCTTCCCAAAAATAGTCTTATATGAAAAAACGTTTCTATAAGAAACTTAATCTCGAGTTTGTCTTTCATCTCTGAGATGAAATGATACTATTTATGCTAATGTTGTGGTCCGTGATTTTCCATATTATGGTATATTATTCACATTATTTTTATAAAGTATATTGAGATTGAAGTATTCAGCACTTTTTAGTTTTTCAAAATTCATTTTTGTTCCATGTGATTGTGCCATAATTATCAAATAGCTTCCTGTTTTCCTGGAAACTTCTTTTAAGTTATGACTTTCTCAGGCCATCTAGGCTAGTCTTATTGTCACATGAGGGTACTTTGCTAATCGTCAAAGAGGACTCATCATTTAAGATTTTCTCCAGATAGGGACGAACTCCTCAAGACTTGAAAAAATATTTTTATGTCTAAGGCGTTTGCGGTGGTCTCTTTTATGTTCCTGATATATCCAGCAGCTTTGGTAGGCCGATGGTGGTGTGTGATCACCTTGATGGCCAGGGTTCGAGGGACCAGCTTCGACCATACTCATGGTGAATACCCCTCTCTACTAATATGCAAAAATTAGCTGGGACGTTTTTTTTTTTTTTTTTGGTGGCGGGCGCCGTAATCCCAGCTACTCATGGAGGCTAGGCAGGAGAATCGCTTTGAAC